CTAACACCTGCAGTTCTATGCACATAAATTCAACAGTGTTCACTATAAAACTTACTGTGAGGTAAGTGTGCATGGGAAGGCAGCTAAATTATGTTTCTGCTTTTGGGGTTTTCAGTGTAATATGCAATGGGGAAACTAACCAATCTCCCCCATATCTCTTGAGCTGTTTCACACTTAGAACTCATGGGTCTCAAAGCAGATTTATAGCATTTAAGACAGAAAAAGAGTGAAAGGAGACACTTCACCAGCTTGGGAGTAGTTGAGCAAAGCAAAACACACATTGGCGGTAAAGCCTGGTCTCATGTGATGTTCCTTTCAGTTCTGTGGTTCTATGGCACGACCCCTATGTTTCCAAACGGCATCTTTATGGATGAAGAGGCATTTTTCATTTTGTAGCAGCCTGCTTCATTCACTGATGCCACATCTCAAGGTTCTGTGCCACTGCAATTCATCACCATGGAAGTGGCTGTGATATTGCCTTCACAACAACTCTGCAGGCGATGGATAAGAGGAGCAGATTGATAAAGGGGAAGAAAGGCTTCTGTTTTAAATGCAAATTTCTTGGCAATCAGCAAAAAGGCAGTGGGTAGGAGAGTTTAATGAGGTCCTAAAAGATTAGCAGAGGAATTTGAATCAATGATTCCTAACTGCTATTTAGAATACCAACTCTGGTGCTTTTAGCCCTTTCTAAATGAAATAGATTGCTTATCACCAACTTTTGGGGGCAAGGAGCAGGGTTGCAGCTTGGTGTGGTTGTGGCGGATCAGGGCCTCTTCCCAGCTCTGGGGCGACTGGGGGAAGAGTGTCACTTCCTCCTTCTCCTGTTGCACTGAATGCTTGGGCTTGCCTACAGTTGGAACCATTCAGAAAAGCCAGAGTCATGGCCTGATCTTTATGTGATGGGGCTGCCCAAGGTTGAGTGGGTAACCCCAGCAGAGGACCTTGCTATGGAAGGATTCGGCTGCCCTATTTGGGGCCAGGGAGGATTTTCCTTCCAGATAATTAGGCCCATTTGGGGTTTTTGCCTACCTCGTAGTGACTGTCACAACTTGATGGCAGATAAGGCATTGGGCTGGATCCTTAGTCTAAATGGACTGGGGTGGGTACCCTCCTCCACTCCGAAGGATCAGGGTATCCCCTTAAAGGGACCCAGTGGGGGTGCATCTGTCCTGTCACTCCAGATGGAGTACAGATGGGTCATGGCACCCCCTAAATGGTGATCCTGATGGGGGGATCACTCTGATTTGATGTGCCTCATATGGTGATCCTTAACCTTGATCAACACTGCCAAAATAATCAACCAGCAAATGGACCGGTTGATTCAGGATACACACCCAATGCCTTTACCAAAACCTACTGGCATCGGTAACCAATAAAGTTGTGGCCTGTTTAATTCCCAGCTGGGCTTTCTGTGTTGCTGTGGTTATCGCAAGCTTATCATGCCTTGGCTCCATCATCTGTGACTCTACCACTACAACCTTGTAGTAACTGCTTTGCACTTGTAAACAGAGCACAAAGTCTGGGTTGGGTGGTTTTGAACAGCCATCTTTGTCTCCTTCCCATCTGCTGACTCTGCAACATGTTTGTGGACTGAATATGACTACAATGGGAGGATTAGAAAAAGTTGGGGGGAAGAGTCATGGGGTGGGAGAAGGAAATAGTCAATAGATGTTCTTTTGTACTTGCCCCATGACAATGGCTTGATTTGCATCTTGTTAACCCAAAGTATGGCTTAGTGGGACTCCATGAATGTGCTGGTTCCCAGAAAGGAGTTCACAAATGTTTTGCCCCCTTCTGGGCCTTTTAGCTCACTACTGGGTGGTAGCTAAGCCTAGGCTGGGCTTAGCATGCCATCCAAACCCAGGAGTGTGGTTGTCGTTGTTGATGATGATAAAAAACAAATTCATAGATCACTTCAAGCATAAAGTCTTTGAAGCAGTTAATGCATCTCCTTTGTAACCATGAACAAATCTTGGCTACAGATCACCACTGAGGCGGAAAGACTTTAACCACTATCCTGGTCTAAGCCAAACCATACCGTGCTGAGCTAGACAGCCTGGGGAAGTGCAATTTCCTCCTCAGCAGCCAACATGTTCACTCGTTCATGTTTGGCTTGGTGACAAGTGCGAATGCAGCAATCAAATGGATATAGTTTGATAATATATTATCTATCAGCAGTGGCTGCTGCAAGAATGTTTATGTTGATATCAGTAGTTAAGCAGGCCAAAACCTTTGGCTTAAAGAGCTTCAATGACATTTGATGGAAGAAAGCAACTCTGCCATTTTCTTAGACTGAACTGTGTATCAACTTATTCTTCAATTCATAATGTTATGTTCCTCTAAGTTTATCATGGAACTTCCCAGGTACATGCAAAGCCACAGTGGTTCTCATTACTGCCAGAGCAAGTCCTACCCCTAAAATGCAAGCAGAATATGAGGGGTGGAAGAGAAATGTGAAAGCACTAGCCTTGGGTGGCTTTTATTATTATTATTGTATTAATCTGAAACACTTCAGGGTACTATGAACATAACCATCTGATGCTTGGATTTTAGAATTTTTTTAATAAAAAAATTAGCCTCTTCAAAATAATAAAATCACCCCCTTTTTAAAAGGAAACGAAACAAAAATAAAACAAAAGTAATAAGCTTGTCTACGTGTTTCACTTTTAGGACAGATTCTCATAAAAATCAATTTTGTACACAGAAATTCAATGAAATTCTGTTCTCTATTATAGAAATGCTTAACTCATGGCAAGCTTTGAAATAAAATAAAAATAAATACTTGGAAGAATTCGTTAAAAATAAAATAGACTGCAGTTGCCTGCTGGATATTAATACTGTCATATCTATCCCACCAGAAGAAAAGCCATCAAACCATCAAAATGTATCTAGGGTCGAAGGGAGAAATCGAGTTGGTTTCAAATTGCCACCCTAAGTTTTGACCGTTCAGTGGATACATTTTGAAGCATCGCTGCTGCAGGTAACATGGCACAGCTTAGTATTTTGGAATGACTATGCTTTAGTCCTCAAATTGTTTGGGTAAATAAAGTGGATACACCGCCATGTTAGCCACATTCAAAATCCCATGGGCACATGGAACTTTCACGGCATATTTTCACATCCATCAAGAAGAATTCAATGACAGATATGACAATAGCTGCATGCTGGGTTTTCTTCTTCTTTTTAGTCAGTAGTCCAAACTTTTAACATGCCAGAATAAATGCCTTCTCCCCACCAGGGCCTGTTCAAAAAACCCCACTACAAATATGTAGCACAATGGTTGGTGACCAACTGAGCAGGTACTGGTTCCAGAACGTTTGTTTTCCTTCGAAGATGGCTTCTCCAAATGATGACATATTTGTGTCTTGCTCCTGCCAACTCCATGGGATTGGATGCTTGGCTTTATGCATTTATATCGGATATACAGTTCTACACATATATACATATATCACATATACATATATAGGCGTACATATATATGTATACATTCACACACATATATATATGTAGGCATTGTTAACTGCAAAATGAAATAAGAAAGCAGGCGGAATATAAGACTGACCTGGCTTACCTACACTCTGCTCACATTCAATGAGGTCTTCGTCATCATTAGAACATTCCGCTGAATGGTCTGAGGAAATGAGGTCATCTGTTGTCTGACAAGTGAAACAAGCACAAGGAGACAAAAAGAAAGAACCGGTGATCAGACAACAAGAATGGCACTCCCAAGTAGATGAATCTGCAAACAGGAATACAATTGAACATAACTACTAAGCATAGGTAAAAAAGGTAAAGGACCCCTGGACGGTTAAGTCCAGTCAGAGGTGACTACAGGGTTGCAGCACTCATCTTGCTTTCAGGCCAAGGGAGCTGGCGTTTGTCCACAGAAAGCTTTCCGGGTCCTGTCGCCAGCATGACTAAACCGCTACTGGAGCAATGGAACACTGTGATGGAAACCAGAGTGCACGAAAACATCGTTTACCTTCCCACCGCAGTGGTACCTATTTATCTACTTGCTCTGGCATGCTTTCGAACTGCTAGGTTGGCAGGAGCTGGGACAGAGCAACGGGAGCTCACCCTGTCGCAGGGAATCAAACTGCCAACCTTCCGATCAGCAAGCCCAAGAGGCTCAGTGGTTTAGATGACAGAGCCACCCACATCCCCCCTACTAAGCATAACCATAAGCAACAGAGAAGGTGCACCATCAACAGCAAGTATTGAGCTATGGAGAATTACTGCCAACTCAACTTGGCTTTGCTACAGATATTTTGTCATGGGACATGCCTGGCTTCATATGCCTTTTAATTGTTGCCATTATTTACCTTAACACACACATGCACATCCTACCAGTTGTTGTTTTTCTTAAATATTATGGTGCCACACAACGTCTCCCATTTAAATTTATAATATTTAATGCTTCTGAAGTGCTTCTGGAGTATTCAATATATTTCAGAAACCATTGTGATAACCCTTTAAGTTTGGTCAGTATTAGTATCCCCATATTACAGAATTTCAGTGACATCAGCAACACTGCTTGGGGAAATGGTAGGGATGGTTGCAGGTTTTTTGTTGACAAATAAAAGTTTGACCCTGTATACACAACGTTTATGTTCTGTAGAACTGCAATATGTACTATACTATTAGGACATAAATTTCTGTTACTAGGTACATTTAGGTAAAATGCACATATTCTATTGAATAAAAATTTGGTTGCAAGTAATATAGATGCGATATAATCCTATTATCAAGGCGCTGCCAGAATGAGTCTTTTGCGCAGCTAATCCTTCTGGTCTGATAAAAATGTTGACTGTGGGCCAAACTATGTGCATGTTAATCATGTGGTTTGCCTGTGAGTACATGATCTTTTTTTCTAAAATAGCCAGTCTGCCCCAGACCCCAGACCTGGAGATTTGGGGCTGCAGATTGGAACAAACTGCAGGTTGGGGACAGGCGTGATTTGAATAGGAACCATAGCGGAGGGCAAAGGTTCCCTGCTCCCATGTTGGGCAAGGGCTATAGCTCAGTGGTAGAGCATCTGGTTTGCATGCAGAAGGTCCCCGGTTCAATCTTTGGCATCTCCCAATAAGACTGAAATCCTGGAGAGCTGCTGCCAGCCTGTGTTGGCATCACTGAACTAGATGGACTAGATGGACAATAGCCTGACTTTGCATAAGGCAGATTCCCATGTTTTTATAGTTTGGCCATGTGCTGTTAAGCTTCTGTTAATAATAATAATAATAATAATAATAATAATAATAATAATAATAAAAATCTTATATCCCACCCACCTGACTTGGTTGCCCCAGCCTCTCTGGGTGGCTTCCAACAAAATGCAGCATAAAACATCAAAAGCTTCCCGAAACAGGGCTGCCTTTAGATGTCTACAATAAATTGTATAGTTGTTTAACTTTCTGACATCTGCCAGGAGGACATTCCACAGGATGGGTGCAACTACTGCAAAGCCCTTCTGCCTGGTTCTCTGTAATTTCATTTCTCACAGTGAGAGAACCACCAAAAGGCATTCAGCGCTGGACCTCAGTATCCGGGCTAAACGATGCAGGTGGAGAGGATCGTTCAGGTATATAGGCCCAAAGTTATGTAGGGCTTTAAAGGTCAATACCAACGTTTTGAATTGTGCTAGGAAACGTACTGGGAGCCAATGCAGATCTTTTAGGACCAGTGTTATGTGGTCCCGGCAGCTGCTCCCCGCCACCAGTCAGGCAGCTGCATTTGGGATTAATGGGTGGCCCCACGTAGAGTGCAGTGCAGCAGTCCAAGTGGGAGATAACCAGAGCATGTACCCCTCTGGCGAGATGGTGGCTAGGGAGGAAGGTTCTTAGCTGGCATACCAGATAGAGTTGTAGACAGCTGCCCTGGCCATGGAGTGTACACTGAACAGGGCAGGTGTGCCACCATGTTAAATAGGCCAGGCAGAAAATTGCCTTCCAGATACATCCACATAAAGCCAAACACTCATCCCAGCTAAATTCACAAGGATGGATTCCTGTGCAATGTTAACGGAATGGTCAGAGCACAGCAGGTAGGGTCAAAGATCTGGCTCAGAAAAGCTGAAGCCACATCAAGAGCATCTGTGGCCCCAGTGAATTGCAGCACATGTTCCTTACACTTTCCAGCTGATAATCCTTTTTTTGTTTTGTTTTTTTGCGGCTGCTCTAATTAACGAGCAGCATGTACCACAGTGTGTTAAGGAGAAGTGTAATGGCATCTCTCGCCAGCAGCAACTCCTTCATGTAATTGCTGCAATTAGTAGAATTACTAATGGAGACCATTAGGGAGATTCTGTGGAAGCCTCTGGACACAGGCTATATGGCTCTTGCACAAGGCTACCAAATTACCCTGCCCTCAGCAACACGAACTCAGAGCTCGCACATGGAATTCTTTCCTCTTTCCTCTTTCGCTCCTGCAGGCATCAAAGGTGTGTGGTCTCTGTAATAAGAATTCCTGAACTGGAAGAAACCAATACACTGGAAAGAACCAATTTTGAAGTGGCCAGCTTGAGATACCATGCTTGCTCTTTTCAGAACAGTTTTCAGAATCTGCAAATACTGATCATGCAGGAAGAAAGATGAAGGCTAGCTGCAGTGATCTCCATCTTCTGTGTTTTTAATTATGCATACAGAATTATGTCTGTCTGTCTATCTATCTATCTATCTATCTATCTATCTATATCTATCATCTATCTATCTATATCTATCTATCTATCATCTATCATCTATCTTCTATCTATCTATCATCTGTCATCTATATCATCTATCATCTATCATCTGTCTATCTATCTATCATCTCTCTCTCTCTCTCTCTCTCTCTCTCTCTCTCTCTCTCTCTATCTATATCTCTCTGTCCCCTATAATCATTCTGTGTTCTCACCAGCTAAATTACAATCTACGAGGTAAAGCATATATTGTATTTTATCTAATCACCGGGAAAATCAAGTGGACTCGGAATTATAGAGACATCAAATTGGGAGACTAGAACAGATGCATAGCTAAAAGAATTTAACAGCCTAAGTGGTAGAATGGCTTGGCACATGAAGAATGTTGGGGCAAGGTTTTAAAACAGTGTTCATTAATGAAGGGTTTTGATAGGGGCAATCTGACCAATGCCTAAATGAGGAACTTATGTATAGGAATGGAATACTCTGTTAGGGAACCAAATTTGCTTAGCTGTCAGGAGGAGCAAAGCGAGAAATATGGTGAAAGGTTGTCATCAAGGGGGAAACAGAGGGTGGATCTACACACGGGGGAAAAACACTATAAATAAGTCATAAATTAAATCTTTTTAACAAAAGAAAAAAAACCTTATGTAAAACAGCTTAGAAAAGTTTTGTGCTCTACAGTGCCATCTGGTGTTGCATATTTATAACACATTTAAAATGCTAGTGGGGTTTTTTTATAGCTGAGTCTAGAGGCTCTGGGAAGCCAGTGAGAGACACCCAGAGATGGTAGAGGATAGGGAAAGGGGGATAAAAGGACAAAGGCTAAGATCAGATGGATACAGAAAAATAGGAGAAACTAGGGGAAGGCCATAGCTCAGTGGTAGAACATCTGCTTTGCTTGCCTAAGGTTCCTAGAGCAATCCCTGTTGGGCTGGGAATGTCCTCTGTCTGAAGCTCTAGAGAGCCACAGTGTAGACAATAATGAGCTAGATGGACCAATGTTCTGACTCCATATAAGGCAGCTTCCTATGTGCCTAGAAGAAGAAGGAACTATGTAGGTGTGGGAGACAAGTGAATAGAGAAGTGGACCTGGGGTCAGACCAATACACGAGGTAGCTAATCCAGGCTTGCAAGCTAAAAGATCATTATTCGTAAGAACCAATAACTTCATTTCTTTTTTGTTTTCACTGGTAGGCCTTATATGTCTACATACATAGCAGGTTGAGTATGGTATGACAATGCATCCAATTCTGAAATATTTATATTCAATTTTTCTTTAAATCTCAGCACTGGAATTACTCAGTCCTGTATTAATGGTTGTAAAACTAAAGGCAGGTATTATAGTAAATGCCAATAAAATATGCCCCTAGACAAAACACTTTTCATTTGTCCTCTAAAAGAGCTTTTGCCACATTTATAATATTATTTTTATTCTCCCTCTGCTTTGCCATTGTGTTTATTGAAATTGACTTGGTATCAAACTAGAGCAGGAGGAAGCTGAAATGTCTGCATCTAACCTTGAGGATTTATGGACATATTTACCTTCAAATTCCCTCAGTTTCACAGAACTGCCTCTAATGAATTATTGTTTCTGTAATCACCACCTTCTAATTATTCACTCGAAGGGTTTCATCAATCTTGCTTTTGGTGAGGGTCCTGCATCTGTGTTCATTACTATACATCATGGGCATGGCAAGGAAATTCTGAATAGCATGGCGAGATGTGGTCAGGACAATTACATACCCTCTTCCCTTTTCTGACAGCCCAAAGTTGGAATTTATGCTCCATATCCATATCCTTTGACCCTCTGTTCCACATAAAATGGCTGTCTCTGAAATCTTCCACAGAGAACAGTCCCTTTTTGACTACCCCACTCACTCGCTGTGCCATGATTTGATGGGCATTAAGCACAAGATAAAATAAACCCTGCCACAGAACAGCTTTATGAAATTATAAATAACACATCCAGTGAATGATGGAGTTCTCATTTTTAGTGTGAATGGAAAAGAGAAAGGCCTATAAATATTGCCCTCCCTCAGTCAGAGAAACTGTGCCACAATATGTTCCTGATGGCTGCCTCACATTCTTTAAAAAAATGGGGCTTACATTCTCTTAGAAAAGGTTCTCTAAACCCCTCATTCCTGCCCTGACTTGCCTTTGAATTTGGATTTTTACCATGCTTTGGAATTAAAATAGCATAGGTTCCACACCTCCAAGTGTCCCGGTTTGAGTGGGTCATCCCAGATTGGCAGAAGCCGCCCCATTTTGGCTCCTTCACTCCGGCCACACCAGAGCGTGGGACCCAAAGGCGGGCGCAAAACCTACCTTGCCCCTTCGCGTCGCTACTCTTCCTCCTCCTCCCATCACAGCAATTCCAGAAGCTGTTTTCCGGAAATATGTCTGCTGAGGCGGAGGAGGCAGAGGTGGAAGCTGAAGGTAGAAGGTGTGGAGAACAGGCGGATGGGGTAAGCGAAGGAGTGCAGAGATGGGGCGAGCAGGGAGCGCTACAATCAGGTAGGTAGGTGGGTGAAGGAAGGATTGCCAAAATCAGGCAGGCAGGAGGAGGAGGGCTGTCTCCCTTTCCCCTTCCAGAATATTGGGACATATTTGGTTGCAGTTCTACTAAGTCTAGTCCTACTAAGCATTCACATGTTACATTTAACGTTACTTAGAAACTGGGTCCAAATATTTCCTTGGTTGTGCCATGCCACCTGAGCATTCCATTCCATCATGCATATCCTATAAACACCATGCGTATCTGGATACAGATCTTAATGTTCATTTCTCTGAAACCGAAGTAGGTAATTGAGACAGGACATCTTAAATGTATCTCTCTAGGCAATGTTAGATGAAAATGTGGGGATGAGAAAGCAAACGCACACCGCCACACCCCCAACCTTAGGAATTCTGTATTGTGCTGTTAGTTGTAGAAGCACAAGGGCCAGTCGGTGGCAATGTGCAGAGAGGTTGGAGGTTGCAAGTAGGAAATGACCTGTTCCAACATGGTGTCCTGGCTCTCTCCTAATCCTACACATCCCTCATATCGACTTTGTTTTCCTTTTCCTTCCTCCGTAAGTTTTACCTGAACAAGAAACTCCAAAACTCCCCTTTAGAACACGGCACTTGGTGGAAATTCTGCTTCCCTCCACTACCAAACTACATTGCTGATTTTAGTTTTGACTTCATTGCAGCTTCTTCCTGCCTTTCTTTCTGTGCTGCAGCCCATGCATCATTTTAAAAGCAAGTAACATCAATGAGCTTATGCTCCTCATCCATCTGACAGCAAGTCTATTCAGAATGTGATGAAATGCTGCTTTTCAATGGAAGGAAGATTTGTGGGAGTTGTTATACAAAGGCTGGCTCCCCCTTTATGTCACTTTAAAAAAAAAAAAAACCATTGAAAAATGGCA